AAAACATGCTACAACAATAATCTACACAATAAGGGCTGAAACAAAAAAATCCATTCGACCACTTCAAAGACACCAGGAGATCTGCGCTTCAGGAATCCTCAAAGATGTATCATCAGCAGTTACCGCTTAATAATCGTGACATCATGCCGTTTTTCCCCAACTATCCTGAGTTATGTTGCTTCAATTTTCCCAAAATGCTCACATACGCACGCACACACACACGCACGTACGCACACACACACATACACATTCTTTTATCTTGCACCGTGTTCTAGATGAAGACCATATGGACCTTGGTGTGCAATTATGGTGTGGTGAATTGGTAAAACAACAAGTCGGTGTTTCAGTGGAGCAGTAAATGCAGGTAAGGGGCTGTCCTGAGCCGGATCAGGTTGCGCTGATGTTTTTAGATGCACGAGAGGCCAGTTTGAAGTCACATGTAATACTCTGGAGTAAAAAAAGTGGACATGGGTGCATTGGGACAGACGTGCAGTGAGGGTGAGGGGTGTTGTGTAGTGGTGCGTTTGTGTGTGTGACCTGATGTGTAATAGAGTTTGACATACGACTTATAGAGGTCACAGTTGAAGCCATTTAACGTTTATATGAACTCATGTGTTGTTTTTCCATTTGCTAATGAAGCCAAACTGCAGGTAAATGCCATTGAGATGACAGTTTATTAATCTCCAGGTGGACAATGTACTTATTGAAACAGGCACAGGGCAAAAAGTTCAGTTTCTATAGACCACTTTTCCAACTACTCTTGTTCTTAAAGTTGACATTTTGGGCATATTATTTATGGCAGTGGTTCCCAAAGTGGAGAAAGTGTCCCATTGGTTGTTTCAAAACTTAAATTGAGGGACGTGGTAATGACTTGAAGAAATTATGTTGCTAGAAACAGAATCTGGTTTGATTGAAGATGATTTCATGCGCCAGCAGCATAATGGGATTTTATTAAAGCCCATCTCTGTAAAATGTCACCTTAAAGTTGTGTAGAATTTCACTTTTGTTTGTAGCTAACAGAAAGAGTCTTGTATGCCATCTTCGGCTTGTTAAAATCAAATCATCTTTTGCCTACTTGTAAGAAATTGCCCTGGGAGTCACTATTTGACACTTAGGGCTGAGAGTGGTCTGCCCTTTTCACTATTCTGTCTTAGAAGCTGATCTGAAGATGTTACAGAGGCCAAAAAATACCATCCATGTGAAAACGAGTGTCAGAACCGAGCTGTTTTAGAGCCAAGAACTACTTGTTATTGGATTGGTTGGATTTTGCTAAATAGTTAATTTGGTGTTGTTTGAAAATTAAGTACATCAGCTTTTGATTGATTTAATTAGATTTTTTTTTTAAATCCTATAAACATTTAAATCCATCCACATTTGTCCATCCACAAACCTGAATAACTTTCTTGGTGGATGTCTGTGAATATGTTCACATGTGCAAGAATTCAACATTCCATTTTGAACTTCAGTATGCATAATGCAACCTATTTTAGCTTGTTTATTTTACTGGTTTGTAACAGTCTATTATTTAGTAAAAAAAGTGGTTTTAGAAAATTGTAAGATTTTCAATGTGTTTGAAAACCCGACAAATAAATCAAGTACATTGAACAAAGAATGGTACTAAACGTTAGTAGCTCCAGTTTCCCCTCTCCATTCTTCCACTGTTTGGCTTTTCTTTCTCATCTCCATGGAGTCACCGTTGGCATTTCCATCATCACAATCATAAATGCGGCTGCACAATGAAATGAGAAACATGCCTTCTCAATGTTTGCCTTATCATAGCTTTGACCATGTCACTGGCTTAGATCTACTCTAGTTTATACATTTAAAGCCATGATGTGGAACATTCAGCAATGACAGATGTTGAAGAAAAACAACTGGTGCAAGGTTTTTCAGAAGAATATTTGAGATAAGAGGGGTTTTCACACTGACCAAAAACCAAGTCAACCTTTCCGTTCACACGAAGCCATGAAGCCGTGTCAGCCATCTTGAATGTCTGCCACACCAGCCAAAAGTAAAGTGTGTAAATACGTGTGCTGCTTGTAATACATGATAATGTTCGTCTTTCTATTTTGCACTACTCAAATGCAACAGCAGTGACCAAGGAGGGGCGTCATGCTTGTGGTCGCGCCAAGACAACTCATATTGGCCTATAGTTACACTAATATTGTCAGGACTAAGATCTGAGACTCACCTGTAGATCCTGTCTCCGCACTTCTGTGGTGTCTTCACAGTGCTTTAGTTAACTCGTAATTTTCCAGTGTCTGTCCTTATGTCAGCTCACAGCCCCAGCATCCTTATCTTTAAAACAAGTGCATTTAATAATCCATTCAAGTGCATTTTGAGTGACAAAAAAAGTGAGGAAAAAAATGATTCCACTCCCCGTCCAAGGAACTGTATCTCCATAATGCACATTTAAAGTTACTTGTAACCCGACAGGAACATGTCCATGACTAGTAGCATACAGGCTGCAATGCTTACATTTGATGTCTGTGTTTTAATCATAGACTCTAAATATTAACGGACGTTGTCACGCCTATCTCCGCCGTTCAAACAAATGGGCCAAAAATAGTGCTTTACTGGAGCTATCCAAAATGGCCGTGAGTGGTCCCGCCCACAAGAAAATCGCTTATGCGTCAGCCGGCAAAAGACCCAATTCACAGCAAGTAAACTAGAGTGGTCCAAAAAAATCCACCCCCCTCAGCATTGACACACATGTGGAACGGAGCTTTGGGCCAAGAGCCAACTTTTGGACCATCCTGTAAAGGTGTTTTCGAGAGGTAAGAAGATGCTATATGTTAGCATTGGCTAATTCTTATCCCGGGTCCAACCTCATTGGCCTGGGGTGGTATTGCAAGCATGTCAGCGCACGTCATCAAAACATATGCTACTACCTACCAACGCAGCGTTGAAAACTATATTATTCATATATTTATATAAATTTTCATGATAACATTTTGACAACTTAAAAAAGTATGTATTTATACATGGCGCACCCCTACTACCCATGGCCTTGCACTACTCTTTCCATTTCCATAAATGTGTCCTCGTAAAAATAAAGGTTCTGTAAAAAAAGGTTCTTTGTGCCCATCATGTGAATAAACCTACTGTTGCATTACAAACAATTATGAGATTTTTAGGGCTGTCAGAATTATCGCACGTGAATTAATTTTTTTCATTAATCGCGTTAAAAAAATTACGCATTTGATGTATGTGCCGAATGACCCGCCCATGCATCCCATAATAACACTCAGAAGTGACACGGACACATGCGTGTGAGATGGCGACTGAGCAGGTAGGCATTAGTTAACATTAGCACAACTTCTTATAAGCTGCACAGCAATCACTGATGAAATAGTACTAAAGTAACGCAGTGCTAACAAAATATGCAGTATAATAACTGAAAGATTATCACTAGTTTCTTGTCCAAATGTAGTCCGAGGCGGTCCCGCTCCCTCAGTTCTCTCTAGCGAGCATACGCTGTAAGCTAGGTACGTTCACACCTGTAATTAACTCGATTATAAATTTGAATCGTTTGACAGCCCGAGAAATTACACACCAAGAATATTAAACATCATCTATAACCCATATTTTCTTTTTTTTCTCAAACATTTTCTCATTGATACCAGATAGCCCTACTTGTGTGAGAACTGTTAGCAGAAGTTTTCCACTTTAAAGCCAAGGCTTTAAAGTGGAAGCCTTGGCTTCCACTATTGGATTGTCTATTGGATGTGTGCGTGTGGAAGAATGAAGCAGATGTGGCACAATGTGTGATAAACAGGAGAAGAACAAAGGCACGTGTCAGCAGCAGCACGGGCCCATGTCGTCTGTTGTTGTCTTTTGATGGTTATGACACTTGTGATAATTAACTAAAGCTCTTAGTGAAATACATTTACAGCAAATCACTGCACCTTCGTTCTCTTGACAGTTTGACAAGTAGAACTTTCCACTGAACAAGAAGAAAAAAAGGGGCCACTTTGTTTGAAAAGTTTGAAATATTACTATTTTATTCATGGAGAAAAAATAATAATAAAATGCAGCACAATTTGATTACGACCTGCTCTTTCTCCATGGACAGGCATTAAACAAATGCAGCATGTGCATTTTGGAGTTGTTCTTTCTCCTAAACTCACTGTTTTTGAGATTTGAAAATGAGCCAGGAACAGACAGCCTGTCATTTTTTACATTTTAATTCCTGTAATTTAATAAATACATCATGCTGTGGTACATTCCAGGCAAAGCAATAACATCTCCATGACGACAAACAAAAAGGTTACATAGTATGCCCAAAGTATATTGTATTCTATCTCATGGTTTTTTGGAAGACTTATTGTTTGTGTTGCAAAACGTTGTTCGAAGTATGGAGGCTATTATCTCTATAACTATATGCAGTAAAGTAAATTCCTTCCTGCTGTTGTGCGTCACAGTCATTAATGGACACGTCGCTGTTGTTTCCTCTGGTTCATCTTCAGTGCGACGCAGTGGTTTCTGTGTGTGCCAGGCCATGTGTTTACTGCAGTCTCAGATACACATCCACCACAAACCAAACACTGGTTGTGCAGGTCCTGTGCCCGGCCGTGTTTCCGTGTGAGATCTTTGGAAAACAGCCATTTAGCGGAAGACTTGGTTTTACTCTGGAAAATGAAAGGGTCCAGAAAGTGTGCGGCTAACGCTGAGAAAAATAAATTCTGCCTTTCAGCTAAATACAGTATGTAACAAACAGCCTTACTTAGAAAAGAGTTTTAGTTATTCACTGCATTGGAAATCTGTTATTATTACAATTGCAGATCAATCCAAGGCACTTCAGTCTAAATATTCTTACTTCTTATGTTAATTACTTACTACTTACTTAATGTCATGTGTAAATCATGTTTATAGTATTTTATTAATTCATATAAAATGGACATAAGAAGAACGGATATTGGATGTACTAGTTTTGCCTTTTTTTTTATTTTTTTAATATTAACTATGTGGACTTCCTTTTTATGTCCTATACATTACATTCATTTGTTCTGTAGTGTGTTTCTCCAGGATTTGCCGCCACAAACGTGTTCTCTCCGATCCTCCACCAAGTGTTCACACCCGTCCTGGAAAAGATGAGTCTTCACACCTCGGTCCGCTTCCTCGTCTCTCCCAGTCCCTCTCCTTCTCCTCTGTTTTGATTTACTCATATCTGGACTCATTCTCTCCGTTTTCTCACTTTCTATCCCTCCTCCTCCCTCTTTCGTGGAGGTGCTGATCAATTCACAGCCTCCCAGTGAGGTGTCAGAGGGCCCCCAGAACCCGGCGCTATAGAGCAGCCCGTTTTTCCCAGTCTTCACCTCAGCATTTTCTACAATTATTGACCATACTTCTGTTTTTCATTTTTCAGAGCTTGTCTTTTGGTGTCTGCAATACTATTAGCACAGAGCAACTCTAGCATTGGCTGGTGAGAAGGACAGCATGGTATAGCTGGTCTGCTCGCACCGTGAAAAGTGAAGATTCTGACCTCATGGCCTGGACCAAAATGTGAAAATTGACTCAAGAAATGTCAACCACAGTTATTATTACCGAGTGTCTCAGAGCGATTGTTTAGCAGTCTATATATAGGTGTATTTTCACACTTATCGGTGCATATGAAAGCAGCTGTTTATCACATATGTATATCTTCTAGGTGTGACAATGCAGACATATAAGCTGCTGTTACAGAATCACAAATTTTCAGTTCCATCGTCAATCCACATATTGGAGATTAGTGACACCTGCATCTATGGTAGTGATGAGAAAAACATGTAGCTATAGACTAAACTATTTATAAAAACATGTACAATTAGTTGGGTTGTTTTATTGTGGAAAACTGAATTAACTCATTGAAATCTGTAGAATAAAAATCATTGAACAAGAAATTTAAAATGGATTGAAACTAAACAAAAAAATAATTAACACAAACGCAAGAAATAAATGAAACTTAAGACCACAGCCATCCCAAATTGTATGCAGTTTTAAAGAATAGCCAGTTTTGAAAGGCACTTCTTTTCTAATCTGCGTTTATTATCAAACTAGTACATCACTCTAGTTGTTGCACTTTCTCAGTCTAGTATATGTTTGATTTATTTGTTTTGTTGAGCAAAGCAATTTAAGAGCAATAATAACATTCCAAAATACTTATATAGTCTGTTAGCACATTGATATATTCTGAATACACAAAAGCTGTTCATTTCCAATTGAAAAATGCCTAAGTCTCAAGTTGATTATATTTGTGTCCGCTACATGTAATGCATATTTTGTCCGGGAGGAGGCGCACCTGGCCAAGCAGTAATGTGTGTGAGCGCTGTGGATCTCCGAGCTGATATTTGGGCCACATACACTGGACGGGAAAAAAGAGACAACGTCATTAATTAACAACATCTTAGATCGAAAATAATTAACACAGTTTAATTGTAATTTAACTAAATTTAGTTTTTATTTTCGTCTGAATTTAAAAAAGGGAACAATTCAAGAACATCAACTGCAGGAACATAAAAAAACAAGGGATCTTTACCAAATAATTACAATCTTATAAAACAATACATGACACAGTATGAACGCCTATCTCTGTATGCTGTGTCCAAATATAACTCTAGCTTTGACGGGACAGCAGTAGTTATATCCCCTACAACACCCATGAGCTTGTATATAAGTTATGGAGAGAACATAGCGCGCTGTTGCGGATCCCAACACGTTTAGGCGCACAGACCTGCAGGGGTAAAAGTTGACCTCCTTTTGACTCCTGGCTCCTCCAGTTTTCAGCAGCTTCACACAACGACCTCATGACACAACTGGGGATTTTTAAAAACTTAAAAAAACAAATGTTGTGCCTCACTTTTTTCACTCATCAAACTTTATATAATTGCGCACGATTTGACCCTTTACCTATTTTTTTTCCCCCTGCAGCACTTTCTTGATTGCGTTGTGTCCTGTCAAATTACATCCATCAGTCTCCACGTTAAGACCCGCTGATTTGATTGAAGCTCGTATAGCGTTAACATCAGGGCAAAGCGGATTAAGCACAAAATGAGCCATTGGGTGTCTTTTAAGAAGCCAAAAAACACTGACCCTGCCGCTGCGCATGAGGAAAGGGGAAAGTGGTTTGGGTTAACTTTATGGCGTAATTACCGCGGCTTAATTACTTTATAATGCTATTGTCATTGTTTTACAGTTTGCACGTTTTCTTCCTAATTTCTTCAAAAGGTGTTCTTGAGTAATTTAAACAAAGTTTCAATGCAAATCTATATGGTAAAAATAAAAGCAAAAAAAATAGAGAGTGTATTTAATCTATAACAAAATAAGACTTTATTAAGATTTTCCAAGAGAAAAACTTCAACTCACCAAATTGAGAGTTCAACTGTGCGTAAAATAGTCCCGTGCGCTTTGGGCGAGCCTGGTCTGAGGTCCGCAGAGCTCTGGAGGAAAGCTTTGAAACAGCGAGGCTCTTTAAAAGCACTGGATCCTGCGTCAAATCGCGCAAAGCCGCATTATCGTGTTGTGACAGTGTTTGTGGCAGAGAGGCACATGATCGATGAGTGGACTGGCTGCTTAGGCGCACCATAAAAACAGGCTGTCAGTGTGCCCCAACACCTTTGGAAGGTTGCAAAAGATAAGCAACGCAGGGGTTGATCACTGAAAAATTGATTTGAAAAGTTAAGTAAAGTGTTTTCCATGCAGGTTGAAATCTTTTTATAACACAAAGATCACAAACAGTAAAGTAAGTTTTATGGTTCAATTTACACAAGCCCTTTTGTATGATTTCTGCACCATACGTTTCCATTTTTTCTGTCTTTGTTATTTAGGCTAAATCAAAAGTTATTTGAACCATTGCATTAATGATGAACTTTATTCACAAACTTTTTATAGGCTTTATAATTCCATAAAACATCCACTGAATCTTCCCTTCGTGAAAAGAAGACAGTTTCTCACAGAATACGCGCGTCATGTCACCTATTTGAACATGGTTAATGTGGTTAAATATACATGTTGTGGGATGTATAACAAAGCTGATCTTTACATGTTGCTTATATACTTTAATACGGTGCGTTTGTGCAAAGTGTTTTATCTTCACAGAGTCTCTCGCTGTGCGCCTCTTCGTCAGTCTGGCCTGTGAGCGATCAATCAGCCTCCGATCGATCATGAGAAGATCCAATAGAGGGCTCCCATCCCTGCTCCGGCCTGCTATTGGCCAGCGCAGCCAAACTGGAGCAGCCCATTGCGCACTGCTGTGGGGGAGAGGGACGCACGAGCGCTCCTCACACGAGGGACTGTGGAATGGTCTCTCTCAACTATTCCTTTGTAGATTTCATTTTTGCGTGCTTCATCCTATTCGTTTTACGTCTTTGAGCCATTTCAACTATGTGTATATGTTCAATCAGTGCATGCAGTTTCAAAGTGTTGAAACAATTGACTAATTTAAGTGTGAAATAAATATTTAATACATTGAGTTAAAAACCTGGTATTATTTCTAAATCTTTAAGTTATATTTTCTTATAGACATATTGCTAAAATGTTTTCTTCTTAACATTGTTTATTTTGTTCCAAACAGTTATGATGAGACATTAAAGTCTGCTACATGATATATCTTACTTGTTTCTTTTATAAGATGCCATGGGTTGTTGTTTAATCATTTCGTCTTCACTGTTTTACTGTAGGCTATTGGCACCCTTTGTGGACTATCTGCTCTCATGTTTAACCCTTACTGTAAACACTGCTACATTACAGATTTCACCACCCACTTCTACAACATGGGCATTGTACATTAGTAGCAGTTTGCATTTAGATTATATTGATGCAAATATTTAATGTTTTAGTTTTAAATGTATTTACATGTCCAAATGCATGGGCATGTAAATAATCAAATCAATATGTGATTTTGTACAGTAGGCAATTTCCTCGGGCATATCTGGTTACTTTAACGCATCACACTTCTCACGTCTCTTTTCTGTACTTTTGTTTTTGCAGGTGTGAATGCCCATATTAGTCCTATATGCACAAGTCTCTCCACTCTCCAGCCCATGTCTATATATCTCGCCCCGTACTCTGCACATGGGCGATGCTCGAGTGTGTGCGCGCCTCTCCGCTGGGATGCCGGGTCCTCCCACACCCCCCTCCTCTGCGCGCGACTTACTGCGGCCCGCCTGCGTTGTGTAAGACGCGACCTGTTATGGCCACCACTACTTCCGGGTTTGAGCAGTCTGGTCCTGCTCCTCCGCTCCTCCTCAGCAGCTCCACACTCACACACACACACATACACACACATCCATTGTATACAATCGAGTGGAGCGGCTCACGCGGACAGACAGACGTACACACACGCGCAGCAGCAGTGGCAGCAGCATCGATCGTGGCTCCTTTAAGAAAAGCCTAAGCCAGAATTATCACCCCACCTCCTCTTGGTCTTGTCTATACGCTTTTGCATACGAAAATCAAGCGAGAAGACGAGAGTGATCAAAGAAAGCGAAAGGAGAGCTGCTTCATTTTTTAACTGAGACTGTGAGCTTGCAGCGCGAGGTGGCGGCGGTCCCGTGGAGACGCGCGTCGGACCATCATTCATCCAGCACTTTTTGACAAGCCCGTCGCAATTCTTCTTTCTTCTTATTGACTGACAGCGCAAAGTGACAGAAAGACATGAGAGCGTTCACTTTGGTATGATTTGAGCTTTGGTTTATCCGGAGCGAAGAAAGAACCACTCTGCTGCTGCTAAAGGAGAACCCGAGGACCGTACACTCCAACCGGGGAGAAACTTCCACAGTGCGCCGCTGAGACGGAGCGGCAGCGAGACGCGGGATTCTCGTGTGACATATCTTTTCTTTTGAGTTGGATTTTCTTGCTTCGCTTCCACCCTGGCCCCAGAGAGGATATATCTAAAGTGAAAGGACGATCAGGGAGCGAGGAGGGTCATGGCGCAACGGGTACGTACCGCGATCCCCTCGTTCGTTTCTGTGCGTCTTTGCAAAAGTTTCCTCCAGTTTCTCCAGCGCTGGCGCTCTGTAACGTGGCTCTGTCGCACTAGAGCTCAGCCCGGACACGTCTCGCTCGCACTTAACTGTGCTTCACGGAGACACTTTTCATTATTATTATATTTAGGCCAACTGCAAAGGGGCATGGACAACGTGATCATATCTCACATCGTCGGTGTTTTTTAGATTAGTTTTGACAGGCCATTTACAGGAGGCGGAACGGTAGAGGTGTAGATGACATGTATGGTCATATTTATAAAGATAAAGTCTCCATTTATTATTAGTTAATCTTTTTCACTTTCTGGAAATACAATAGAATCTTGTGCAAAAATCACATTCTCCTATGACCATCTTGAACAATATGGCTGCACTACATCTTTATTTTATTTGGTTTGGACATTACTTACGAAGTAATTTATATACTATTGTTTTCTACATTATACTGTATTTTTATTCCTGCACATAGATAATTTTATTTATTGATACATATTGAAAGTTTTTACCCCTTAATTACTTAAAAATGTTCTATATCAATACACTTTTGTGATAATCACAGTCCTTGCTGAGTAATAACATGCTCTGCAGTTATGGGGCTTTAAAAGGAGAAAATACAGTCACTAACAAGTGGTAAACATTTGTTTTTACATTTGTGTGCAAACTGCAAATCTCACTAGCTCGTTAACAAGTGCCATAATAAATCCTACTCGAAGTATCCACTTTAATACTGAGATTTAACACTGTATCTTTCAGGCTATACATTTTAGGTAATTTTCCATTGCATACTTTGCAATGGATACTTTGTTCAGTTACAAACCTGCTTTAGATGTTAACCAAAGTGTTAACATCTTTGAGGAAACTGTGTTTTCCAAGTTTTCATAAGATAAATAATGTGCGTATAGAAGTTAGATATAAACATACTCTGGTGAATTGTACGTGAATGTAAAAGTTTGGTGCGTCTGAAGTGACTGTGGTCGGCTTGTATTTGTATTCCGTGCAGTACGAAGACTTGCCCCACTACGGGATGGACGGTGTGGGCATCCCGACCACCATGTACGCAGACCCGCACGGAGCGCGCTCCATGCAGGCGGTGCACCTGAACCACGGGCCGCAGCTGCACTCGCACCAGTATCCGCACACGGGACACACTAACAGCATGCCCCCCAGCATGGGCTCCTCCGTCAACGACGCGCTCAAGAGGGATAAAGACGCCATATACGGGTGAGTAGTGCGGCTCTATAGAGGGACACAGGGGCACGAGGGCTGGGGGGAGAAGAATGGAGCAAAACGGAGAGAAAGCGTTTGTTTTGTTTCCCCTGCAGCCCTTTGTCTATTAAGTCAGAGCAAAGTTTGACACGTCTCTCCGCGGCAAACAACTGAACAAATACTCGAGGTGTCACATGAAATAAAGCCATAAGTTTTTCTGTGGAAAATGCCGTCTCATATCATGGTTTTTGACCTTTTGCTTTTGGAAGATATGAAGGCTTCACTTTTTAAAATTTTAAATTAACTCCAATTCATTCGTCCATTGATTCCTCCAAATGTAATAACGTATCAATAATTATTTGAAATGATATAAATAATAAGCATAGCCTTTCCTAAACAAAATTATTTATCTGTAGCCTACTTTTTTGCACCATGCCACCTCTGGGCACGGGTCTAAAATGATAATTCAGCAAATCTACAAGTGGTAGGATGCTTATGCGGCAGCAGAGTGATCCTCCCGGGGCTGCACGGCCCCCGTCCCCATGGACGAGGCTCTGGATGCAGCCACAGTGTGCTGACCCCAGCGCCGCTCACATGTCTGTGTCTGTCCTCCGCAGGCACCCCCTGTTCCCTTTGCTTGCACTGATTTTTGAGAAATGTGAATTAGCGACGTGCACCCCCAGAGAGCCCGGCGTGGCGGGAGGAGATGTGTGTTCGTCCGAGTCCTTCAATGAAGACATAGCAGTGTTCGCGAAACAGGTTCGCACAAGTTTACACTCAGCTGCAGCAACATGTCACTGTCAACTATTCACGGAATATTTCAGAAAATACATTTTACATCGATAGCTGCTCAACTTATTTTGTTAAATTATTTACACTGAATTGTGTCGCTCAGATTGTATTAATTTCGAGGCTAACTTTGAACTGAACTAAACTTTACTTTTATTTGTTTAACGTCCCCAGATCCGCGCAGAAAAGCCTTTATTTTCATCGAATCCAGAGTTGGACAACCTGGTAAGCACGTTCTGATCTTCTCTATCATGTTGGTCGTGTATGTGTCTGCATGTGTCTGCATGTGTCTGCTTGGAGAGCTCGCCTCTGAGATCTCAGTGGTGTGTGTTGTGAGAGTTTCCTCTTGTGGAGCAGTGTCTGTCACTCAGCTTTAAACTGTGCGAGGGAATTTTCTCCCCGTGCATTTGCACAAGTCTGCTCCTAATATTGTCCACATCGTTTGCATGAACTAAAGACGCTACTTTAATACATTGATAGTTTTTAGTTTTATGCAAAGTATTGACATAATAAACACGCCCGCGTTGAGAAAAGATAGTTTCTCTTTATAAGGTCTTGTTATGATGAGCTATGTTAATAATTTTGTTTCATTTTCAGATGATCCAAGCCATCCAAGTTTTACGGTTTCATCTGCTGGAGCTTGAGAAGGTAAGAGTCTTGGGTCTTTCTGGCGGCGTTACCACTTCAGACCTATGGGGTGCATTTGCATAAATGTATTTTTGCAAGTCGGTTATAATTAGCGTCAAAATCAATCACGAGGCCGTTTCTCTTCCGCGTATTTAATCACGATGCAAGCTGTTACAACTGGAACGGATATCTCTGTGGCCAGATCGCCCCGCGTGTTTAATGAAGTTTTATTCAGCCAGAGATGACACGGGGGCGCAACGTATAAGTAAACTTAGTTGGATTTTTCAAGTGATTTTTGCGGAGGGCAAAAGGCCCCAGGCGCCATCTGTGAAGAGTGGTGACGTGGGCGTAAAACTATGATTTGTGTCATATCTCATAGAGGACAGTGGCAACATTACATCAAGATAAAACTTTACCAAACGTGTAAAAATAAAGAAATAACAATGTGTACTAAAGCTGGTGAATACGGCTCCTCGGGGCAGGTCAGTAATATTAAAACAGACGTTAAATGTCGTTGTCACTCTCATGTAATGGCCACTACCACTGATGAATTTAACACGCGTGTTGAGCGCCTTGTCGCCCCTGTACTCCTCTTGTCACTGCCAATTTTTAAAGATATCTCAATCGTACGGCGTGAATGATTAAAATTGCAGTTCCATGTGGCTTTGAATGCTATGGTGGAAAACAAGCACTAAGCCGCAGTTTGAGCACTTTTTGTGGTTTAGTATTTTTACGATGTTTATTCTGTCCCGGCAGGTGCACGAGCTGTGTGATAACTTCTGTCACCGGTATATCAGCTGCTTGAAAGGAAAGATGCCCATTGACTTGGTCATAGACGACAGAGAGGGCGGCTCCAAATCAGACAGTGAGGAAATCACGAGGTCCTCGGTGGCTCTTGATCAGGTATGTGCTGCTGTCCACGCTGCATGGCTGTTCATATTCCGCACTCCTCCTCACCGCTGTTATTTGCATATGATTAAATTCCTTTCTATCCATCTGAATGTGAAATATTCAGAATAATGTTGCCATTATTGGCCCATTAAGACTTGATCCTAGACTGACCATAGGAAGATTAGCTTCAAAAGCGACGCCATCAACTTGACCTGTTCTGTGTCGATTTTAATTTAGACCCACTCCAGGTCTTTTCTGCGCTCTGGCACGTTTGATATTTTATTGTATTATATTGTTGAAAGAGGGGCATGCTGGGGAGAAAGAGTCGCTAGGTGACACGGTCTCTTCTTGTGGAGTTCACGGTTCATTACGCGTCTTGTCAGTATTTTCTTTTAGACATGAGTGCACATTGCTTATCGAGACACCTCCCTGTTTCTTCCCCTATTTTACTCTAAGCCCATAGACTCAGTAGAAATAAGGCACAGCATTTTTTTTTTTTGCCCGATTGAGGGCATTAAAGGTAGATTAAGAAGTGTTTCCTTTTGTTCCAAGATCACAGATAAGTGCAGCCTTCATTATGTGCTCCACTGGCTGTTAGTACTCCAGGGACATACTGTGTGAGCACAGCCATGACCCTAATGGTCCATACATGCAGTTAAATAATGATCATGTCTGATTAAACCTATCTAAATCTGAATTTTGGGCTCTTAAAAGTTTGTCGATAACTTCTTGGAAAAGCATAAAAGGTGAAGACATGCGAAAAGTTAGATCCAAATTATACATATTAGTGTGATATTGACACTAATGAAGATATTTAGCTAAATTATTGAAATCTTCATATTTGACACTGAGTGCAGTGCAGAGTCAGGGTTGTGTGTTGAACTGAAGGGAGCAGGGGAGAAGCCTTCAGAACTGCAGCTGCTGTTATAGAGATCATGTCAAAATCATAGATTCAAATGAGCAATTAAATAACATGCCATACCATTGTTAAATAGGTTTTCCTGAGAGATTAAAGCTGTCACAACTTTTAGCAGGAAAATCAAAGAGGCATGTTTTATACTTGGTTGGATCCAGAACAAAATTAAAAACCATGGTGTGAGAAAATTGCGCTTCAGGCAATGATGGTCTTTAATTGAGTGCAATGTGGAGCGAATCACTGTTGTGTACATTGAGGGAACGCTGTGTCTGAAAGGATAACCGTGTCCACAGCAGTAAAGGCCATATCCAAACATGCTTCTGTTGAATACTTATACTTTGGTGCTGCTTATCATGACTTACTTGTGACCAATGTAATATTTAAATGTTGCGTACTATATTGTCTGTGATGTTGTGTCTGCAGTTTTTGTTTAGTAAATTGATCAACACCTTTAGGATGTGTATGCATTATCTCTTCCCATATGTATTTTTAATATATGCCCTTGGGCATAAAGTTGAAGTGGACTGGAAAGAAATGTTGAGAATTTGCACAAAAGAACAATGTTAACAAGATGGAGAAAGCCAGCTCATTTATTCACAAACCAATTTATTCCAGTGAGGCGACTGTGGCAGAGGAGAAAAAATGTCAAGAGAAAAAATACTTTGAATTGATTAAACTGAACAATCCAACAGACTGACTGCACTCAGTGTCATAACAGTAATATTCTGAATCTTCTTTACATGTCTTTAGGATCTGCCCTTGTTTAGTCAGACCGTCTATGCAGGCAGCTATAGAGCGACGCTGGGCCGTTTGAAAAGAAAGCAGAGCTGAGAGGTGAAAAAGTCACGAGCTCTGCTCCAGCTTGTGAATGCAGCCCAGCCAGTTTGGGCTCAGCCTCTGGAGTGCTGTTTGACTGAAACTCATGTGGGGCTGTGAACAACGCATACGCAGCCTGTTTGTGTCCAGACGTGCACTGGGATGCTCACGTGCACGCTCACGTGCATGACGACCCATGAATTTGTGTGTGTTCAGAGCGCCCTGATAATGCAGCACCCCCCTCAGGTGCTATGTGAGTGGAGCGACTGGTTAGCACCAGTTGGACTTTTTAACTCTTTCCCTTCCTCTCCCCAGAGAACCACACTGGCCTCATTTTAGCCCAAACAATAAGTTGTGATGTTCTTGTACTGTTTATAGATATTTGAAGATTACAATAAGTTATTAGTACTTATAATGAAAACAAAATGGCAAAGTTTGTGAAGTTGTCCTCTGTTCTCTTGCTGATTGCCTGTGTTTGTGGAATGTGCTCAGCCTCAGTCAAGACGTGAGCAACATGAAGCGCGCTGAGTTTCCTCGCTGCTCTGCGTCATTTGCAGTTGTCTTTAATTGCACGGTTCTGGGAGGGGCCCAGCAATTTGCTAATAAACTCTGAGGGGCCATCTCTGCAGAACTATAGAGCAGAACACACAACATCATGGCGGACGCTGTCTGTTTGATGCAGCCATGTTATTGACTTTGCAGTAAATTATTTAATTATCTATAAAGTAAATAAAAAAATCATAAATACACAACTGTGGAGAGTGCACATTTTAAGGATACAAATTATATTAACATGTCCCTTCTGAGCTGTAATCCAAGTACTAATTTGTCCTGCTCTGTGTTTTCTGTAGCCGGTCAGCATTAGTTTAGGTGAGTGCAGCGTTCACTCTGACACCTGCCTCTCTCTGAACTCAGTGGAAACGGACACTGTCAGGGTCAGACTCTATTTCCCTAATCAAAGTGCCACTATCTGTTCACCTCTCGCTGCTCTGTGGATTAAGTTAAAGCATAAGGCGCACACTTTCTTTACTTTTCCCTCCCGCCTATAGCGGCATACAAACTTCTGAATCTCGTTGGTGATTGTGGGTAATAGCGTCTTTTGTAGTTGAATAGAGACGAGGTTTGACCCCCACTCGCCCCCCTCCTTTTCTCCTCTCCCAAGAGCTACCCTCGTTTTCCAATGGGGAATGAATGTGGGGCGGCTGTTAAGGATTCAACAAGTGATACAAAGAGGCGACCACGTGACTTGTGTGTTTCTTAGCTTCTTCATTATTGTGACGGAATAGCAAGTAGGGGTGATTTTGGTTAAGCAAATCCACACCAGAGGGTCTTTTAGATTAAATACATACATTGGAGTATGTTCTGAGTAAGTTTGAATAATCATTTCCAGTTCATACATTACTCGGATCCCTCCAGATTTTGTTGTTGAAACATGATGGCTGCAAGAGGAGTTTTGGGCTAAGTTTGCTAAGACTTTCAGCATTGTCTCTGCTCCTGGCCTGCCGCAGTTTCTTTGGCAAAGTCAACAATAACCTGGCTTAACATGTGTGTACTTAGCTAATGGAAAGTTCCTCTCCCCCTTTAACCCCCTGCAAGCTCCTGACAATAGGCTTCATCACAAATAGGCCATCTCCAAGAGATTCGCCCAGAACATCCCATCACAAGGCTATAGACTAACGCATAAACCGGTGCACACATCATTGAGAAATCACGGGCACATTTTCATTCACGCTCTGTTTAGGGTTAGGTAGAGAGCACTCGAGTTAATTTATTTGTTTGGATTCGGGCTCACGCTGCGTAAACAAGGATTTTGAAGTGGTTAGGGGAGGGGAGAAAAAAAAGTTGCCAGGGATTCAGTTTGTGACTTTTCGACAAGGGTCTTGTTAAATGTACTCTGAAAGTGCGGATAATTATCTTGAAGATGTTATTATCTCTGCACATTTCTATATGAGGTTAACCCACTAGTTTTAAGAGTACCTGACGGCTATTCATCGTAGCATACTTTAACACACTCAAGAGACACAATCCTGGTTTAGTTCTTCTCAGCCCCTTCAGCAATTATAAGGTTATTTCTTCTTTTCTTTGTCAAAGTAAAGAGGTCGAGAGAAAAAGGAAGAGAGGGGGGTTGCAAGTTTTTTTTCCCCCTTCTTGCGCAATGCATACCATTAACACCCCTTTTTTCATGGGGGAACACCGATATAGCAGCCGGGGAGGAGAGGAGCTGGCGAGCGGGCAGGAATAAAATGTATATGTAGTTTGGAAGAGCACTGGCCTGGTGGGTTGTCACAGCAGGTGGATCCTTCTGTCTTGTCACAGTGAGTGGAAAGCAAACACTCATTCACAATAACCCTTTCAAAGAAGCTTTCACTGTCGCAGCCAAAGGAGAGAACGTGTGAGCAGGAGATATTGTGGCGGCAGTAGAATGTGTTCTCCAAGACCAGAAAAGGTCAAAAAGTGTGTTCTGTTGAATTCAGGTGCAGCAAAGCCTTCTGGGGGATAGAGTAGTTCAGTCTTCCATTTATGCTCTAAGATAAAATGAGTAAAGGATTGTATACAGAATTGAATGGCTCGGATTTGGTTTAGGTGCTGGTTTGAATATATATATTTTTAGATAACAACAATTATGTTATTTTTAAAAACAATTACACAAATATGATATTCTATAACTTGTTTTGCCATTACAAGAAATGAATTAAATTTGAGAATGAGCAATCTTTGTACATGTAGAAAGGGAAGTCTGGGCCTCTTTGCTCAGACTGCTGCTGCTGCTGCTGCTGCTGTTGCTGCTGTGGAGGGTGAACTTTTGCTCCTGAATCCAGGGATCTTCCTATAAAGGGTCCTGGCTTCCCACAAATGTTTCCCTACATTGCCATCTTGCCATATGTCAATATTTCTTTTAGAGCTCCAACTTTTGTCTGTTTTACCTCCTATCAACCCTTTGGTTAAAGGGTTAACTTTCCCTGAATATATTATTAGGTCATTATTAATATATTAGTAATCTGAAAAATAAGATAAAAGGTCTGCATATATGTGATGACCAAAGGCACTCACAGTCACACTCACAAGTGCAGCATTAGTTATTTTCTTTTTATTTTAAAATGAATTGGCAAAGCAACATTTCTTGCATGAGTGCTTGTATGATATGGGGAGCTGGCACTGGGAGACCCCACATACCCCTCCCTCTTACATCTTAGACACAGCACAATGAGAATGCACTGGATTGGAATGCCTCACCGATCATAGCGGAATCAGAATTTCCAGCAAGGAAAATCTTTTCATGGCGAATTAAGGCTAGCGGAGGAGAGAAATGCTAATGAAAAAAAGGTATGTACGGTGCTTGAACAGCCTGAGCTCTGTGCGGCACATTTAAGAAGTTTAGCTAAAGCAGAACACAATGTGGTAAAGGGAATTTACTAAACAATTAAGCATTGAATTAATCTACAATCCCTGAGCAGACACACACAGAGGCAGACTGCAGGGACTGAATCCAGGGCGACTCATTTCAGCATAAATCAGGACTGCACCTCTCCCTCACTCTCACACTTTACTTTTATGCATCTATTCATCCAGCGTGGATTTACATAGGCCATAACTCCGAGGTGGCCCCTCTTGTCGCCGCAGCCCTGTCGTTGGCTCTATAGGTGTTATTTCTGTGTGTTCTGCGGTCAAGGTGTGGTCTGGTATTAGAGACAGGAAAAATGCTGTAGGTTGTGTTTGTGCAATGTGCATGAGAGCAAAAGTCTGACTGGTTTAGAGCGAAGGTCTTTGAGCAACGTTATTGGTTTCATTTTGGCCTATTCTATCAAGAAAGAATAAAACCTGCACCAAAGCCAGGAAGTCAAAGAGCTTATTCATAACATTGTGTGGTAATCACAATTAACATTTTATCACAATGATTATAATTATCTTTATATATTACGAACAAGTCCTCCTGTGTGTTTTGTTTGTTTGTTTTACATCGGGGAATATAAACATTTCAGCACAGTGACTACTTCCAAGGCCTCAAGGCTCAGAGTAATTCACATACAGATACAGAGACTGTTGTCATAATACTATCAGAAGTTTGTCTATGAATAGACTTGATTCAAAAAATGATTTTAAGATGCTCTCTGTTATTTTTTAAATTTTGGTGCATTTTATGACGCCTCCACTTTTGCCCCCCAGTTTTTCAAATAAAGCATTTAAAACACTGGAGACAGGAGCTGCTGGTATCCAAGCCAATCAAACAAAAAGTCAAAATGTCAAAAGTCCAAATATCCAAATAGAAGACAAATATTCACTCACTTACAGAATAAATAGGATTTATTAGAGGCGGCTACCGCTTCAAAATTATTACAATGATTCAATTCTTTCAGTGTTTTAAATTTTGTTTTACAGTACATGATTTTGTTTATACTTTTGACAATTAAGGTAAAAACATTTGAGGAGATTAACCAAAAATATCCATATACATATAACTGTGTGTGGGCCTTTACCGACTATTCCACTCCCCAAGTCACTCCCAAGACAATATAACGTCATGTCTTTCAAGAACCAAAACTACTTGATCCATTCTATCTGTCACTTCTGTACACTTGTGCTCAGTGGTTATTGTCTGTAGCTGTATGTTATCAGCTGTGCTGGAATGCCAGGTTGTGTGTTCTCATTAATTGCATGTTAGATCAGCGGCGGGCTTGTTTGGTCCAAAGGCAGCCTGTGATTATAAATAAACTCCCCCCTCCCCGTGGAGAGATGCCACCAGGGCCTGTCTGAGCGCCGCCCCCTTTCCCATGGGGCCTAAACACTCACCTCCCAGCAGGCATTGCACTCTTTTGTTCAATTATAGCTAATACAAGTTTCCATGTATTGATGTATTTGTATATTTTAAAGGAGCTGCTTAAGACAATGTATGTATACTATGAAAACAGAGGCAAGCCTTTTTTGCAGGCTTTTAAAAAATATGTACAACTTCAGAGATACTCCTCGACCTCAGAAAAGATTGTTGTAAATTGTTCATTTCAATAAGACCTTTGGAAGAAACGGCATATCTTGTGTTAACCGTTTGTGTACTGGGCATGTGTTCTGGATTACCTCACTGCTTGTTCTGGAGCCACTCAGTCATGCACAATGTTTCATTTTTCACTATATCCCAAAGGTGCATAATGACTGCAGCAGGGAAAGTCTGTGTGGAAACAAAATCCTCTTGAAAAAAAGAATGATGAGCGGTTATTTACTGCTTCAGAATGTTATTTATTTTTCTATGCCCCTTTTTTCTTTGCACAAATCTGGGTTTATAACAGTCTCCCTATCTTATTGGCCCAATACAACTTTGCAGACTTGTCTTATTCCCCCTGTCTTTATGTGCTTGCACGTTAACCTACATGTTAACCCTAACCCCTACCTCCTTTTAAAGGTTCTTAAAGCTGGGGTATCTAACTTTCACCAAAAATTGGACTGTAGTAAAACCAATCTCACTCCATCCTAACTCTGAAAACAGTTCTTTCACTAGTTTCCACATGCATGCATTTTTGGTCATTGTCACAGCTTTGCATCATATTTTTTGGGCAGAAATGTGAAAAAGAGAGGAACACCCTCACTCAACCAATCAGCTTTTACCTCTTAGAGTAAAATACAGACTCACAATGCTCTGTATAACAAGTATACGAAAGCAAATTTGTGCTTTCGCAAACTTGTTTCTTCTTGTTGGGACAAACGCAGATTAATTGTGGAACAACACTGCTAGGTACCCCGGATTTAAAGGTTTTTTGATCCCACGTTTTGTGATATTGCTCCTAACACTTGATGTTAGGTCCATACACAGCAGTGGTTCCCTTTGATAACCGCTCTATGTCACGTTTTGAAAAAATCCTATTGCTCTCTCTTTATTAGCTGTCTCAGGTCTGTGTAGGTCCATGTAATTCTTTTGGACAGCCACAAAGCAGTGCTCTGTAGTGAGATGACATCAGTCTCTGCTCCTATGCTAACTTGTAACTGTTTTGTGTTTTCATCTGCTTGCACTTTGAGCCAAATGGAGGCAGCCGGGGATCGCATGCCTCAGAAAGCTGGGAACTCAGACAACATGTTCACTGGCTTATTCATCCTGGCCTTTTCTCAGCTATATTCCATTCTATAAAACTTTTGCTCACTCACACACATGGCTTAAACCGTGTAAATTATGGCTACAGTTTGGATTCTTGTGTGTATGAAATGAATGGTTTATTGCTCTCGGATCATAATACTCTGTAGCATATTTACAAACAAACTCAATTCGGCGTAGAGATGATGTCATGTGAACTTGCTGACCTGGCCTGTTGTTCTCGCGCAGACGTCTTGGAACAGGGACCATGACGACACAGCATCCACGCGCTCTGGAGGTACGCCAGGTCCCTCCAGCGGGGGACACACGTCTCACAGCGGAGACAACAGCAGTGAACAAGGTAAGAAGGCCTTTTTTACGTTGTCCAAGCTGAAGGCAAGCGCGTGCGGGTTGTTTTTCATCTTGTGTCCATAGTCTGCAGTGTCTTTGTCTGTCGCTTCGAGTTCAAAGTTGTTGAGAACATGTGGTGTAAGTTCCAGCCTTAATTACTGCTTCTCAGATATGAAGGAATTGCTTAATTGTGTGTCGCTAGTCCAACTTATCTTTTTCTGTTTAAAGAAGACAAATCTGCCAAGAAACATCGGGCATAACATTAGACAACTTCAAGAGTAACTTTCAAAATATAAGAATTTCTTGTATTATTGGACTGACAACAATATCACAGTTATTGGATTTAAGGGGAATGTTTATAATCTGTCTCTTGCCCATCTCTGAACCACTACATTTGGTCTGTTGGTCTTTCGATTGAACAGTTGTTAGTTGATCAAAATGTGTACATGTTGACTAATTATCGTTTAAAAGGTATATAGGAGGATTTTCCCAAGTTTTAGGAAAGAACCGACCTCTCCAATAGTCTTGAGGATCCACCCGGAAGTAGATACCTTTAATGTAATGATTTCTATGGCAAATAATGAGAATACTTGGAGCAAAGCAGCTGAAGGTTTTGTTATTTATTGAATTCAGATCAATCTCTGCATTCCCTAGTTTCTTTAATCTTTTCTGAATATTGCTGAATCGTTGGGTGATTTTACGCCTCATTTGTTTTTACATGAAGTACAGTTACAGTGAGGTTTTGTCACAACTCCTACTTTCGTTTATTTTTATCAGCAGAGCATGTCTTTGGTCTACCTCCGTGCGCCACAGTAACAATGTGTATGATAGAAGTTTTATTGAGGGTTATGATGAAAGGGTCCAGTCAGGTCAAGAAAAGTATCTCTTTTATATTCCATAAAGTAGACTTTAACAGTAAACCTATAGTAAACCAATGGCAACAGCTTATCTCTCTGTTCTGCGCATGCACCCGTCTGCTCCAGTGTGTGTGAGGTTGAAGACGGGAGTTTGGTTGTTGGTGGTGCAACAAACTGTAGGCAAAAAAGCAACTTCATTTATTATTGAAGGGAATGTCAAGGCGAGCAGTTTGCAGGGGTGCCTCTGCCGGGAGCGCCTTCCACTTGAATGACTGATTGTTTATAACACTAGTGCGTCCATCTTTGGCCCAAGAATGTTGTCTTTGTGTTGTACTTTAGCAAATACAGCAAAGGGAAAAGTACATCTGATCAAATATGGGGTTTAGACTGACCATAAATGCCATATTGTGTGTGTACCCCTGATGGCTAATGGTCCAGCAGCAGCAGCAGCCAGGCGCCGTCTGATTGGTTGGCCTAATGAGTGTGCTCTGTGCTCTGCTCCTGAGACCTTTGGCCTATATTGACTGAACTGACACTTCATTTTTCACATATTTCCAATTATAGGTTCTGTGGGACCACCTCTTTTTACTTGTTTCTCTGATCTCAGCAGGCTTCACTGTGTCATATTTTTGGAGCTGGACAGTTGGAGATGGACGGTGCACATGCTTTCTGTGCTGCTTGGTAATGAGTCATGACTGCTTCTGTTACATTCAGTTTTGGTGGTAAACTCCATGTAATGCTGGCACCACATGAAGTTGTTTTTGCATGGTTAAAGTACATTGTTTTGTTGTATGATAAAGGATCATTGCTTGGCACTTAAAGCTAGGATGTCTAAGTTTAAAACCACAAACAATTGAACAATGTAATACATCCATTTAGCTAGTTCTGTTTGGTTCCATCACTAGTTTTAACACATATACATGTTTGGCTTCAGTTGCTTTTTCAGACAGAAGAACGGACCATCAGCCAATCAGATTTTGACCCAAAGCTTCAAATAGTGACTAAGAGGGCTCTTTATTACGTATGACATTTCTATTGAGATGAAAATGGTGTGTTGTGATCTGATTTTTTTACTTTTACCAGAGTCTTTCTGAAATAGACGTCATGAAATCTAGAAAAGATTGAGTATTCATTAATTTGTCACAACTATAGCTGGTAATGGCATGTAAGTAACGAGTGTCTGTATTTAGCCCGTTGCACAGCAGGCAACATTTTGGAGAGTTCTTGGCTTTATGCAGACGAAAAGCCATCGCTGCCACGTCATTTGGACTCAGCTAAATTGCGTGTCAGTGTCTCTGTAATCCCAGTAAGCGGGTTATTTATGTTTTGCCACTTTTCTCACTCCTTTTCCTCCCCATCAGTTTCGTTCTTTCATCGTTTCCATTCCTCTTTCATCTTTCCTGCTTCCTACCTCCTCTCCTCCTTGTCCCTGGTCTCCACCTACTCCCCATATCACTCTTTCATGATCTGCTGCTCGTTCCTGTCGTACTTCCCACTCATGCTAAAATGCTGCCTTTGTTTATCCTTCACTTTCTTTGTTTTGTCTCTGTGCTGTGTTTTGTGCACACTTTGATAAACAGTCGGGAGATGCCACTAGATATTGTGGTCGTACTATAGTTAGAACGAATCAATTTCTAACAAATAAACCCTATCAGATGCTGGTGGTGAGTTCTCGCATATGGCAACAATTCTCACATGGCATCTTCTTCATAATAGGTGCTTTCGCTTTGACCACAATGATATTTTCAAACTCTAAAATTTTATTGGCCGTCTTTCAAAATGAAGGGTGGATCACATTTGCTTCACACATGTCATTAAAACCGTTCCTGGGTGTCTGTCTCATCTCCCATAAGAGCAGACGCAAGAAAACATTTTTATATTCTTCAACCCTCCTCTTGCGTTACGCTGGGACATTTGTGTAAACAAGCTTTGACCCTGTACTTAATTAGTCCCACTCTATTAGCTTAGTGCTTTGCTAGCTTTAGCTTTTAACCAAGAGGCCTTTTTGTTGTATCCACAGAAGCCCTCTAGAGAAGCCGGCTTGTTTAGGCTTTGGATCACGCCGTTTCTATGAACAGAAATACTCGGAGGGCAGGGGAAAAGCTAACAGATCATATATGCGTGCAGTGGTGGGGGTCCCCTTATGGACATGACCGAGCCCTCTGCTCTTTCTGCCAGTATAAAGTAGTGCTGTTTTGCCGTGTGAATTTGTAAGGACTCCCGGTGGCTACTCCAAGGGGCTGGCGTGCGAAGGCTCTGGGATCGGGCAGCTGCAGTGTGGTGTGGAGCAGGGGAAGAGCAGAGTTTTGACTGGAGTTTTTTGAACCTACAGGGCTTCCCTCTCCGCGCGTCAGAAACATCCAGGGAGTGAGGCGATGACTGGAGATATTAGATATGTATCACCAATTACCCAGACCATTTGTACAGTGAGCCCGGCCAAGGCAAACAGCTCCCTGTTAGGCTATATGTTACTGTCTGCATACATTTCTACTGTCTGGGAACTGGGCTGAGATTTGGAGGTGTCTGGCTTGTGTTTTTACTTGGAGGTTTTTGTTATTCTAAAAAGAGGCTTTGTCTGGCATTCCCAAAATGGTTAAGCTTGCCATGTCTATATATAGTATGTTAGATTGTACTTTTTCAAGTTTCTTAAATGTATTAATATTCTTTGTATACTTATGAAACAACTGCAAACAAATGTATAATGTATGCCACTGCTATCATGCTGTAATGGCTTGAATACTGAACTGTTTTGGTTTCAGAAATACTTCTTTATCCTATTTGAAAATATTTTATCCTTTACATAAAGCTGAGTGAGGGCTGGTACTGAGGTTTTCACTGGAAACGCTGATCTAAAGATGGTGACAAAGGCCAAAAATACATGCATGTGAAACTAGTGATAGAACTGTTTTGAGAGCTAAGAACGGGATACATAGATTTCACTTCAAAGTCATCTTATGTGGTTTCAAAGTTAGCTTTATGCAAGCTTAAATGGCATACATGCTCTGGCCGATGCTCGTCATCCAATATTGATTGTTCTGCAATATTCAGTCAACTATTTATCTGTGGTGTGTGACCCATGTGCCCCTAAATGAGGTCGAGCTAGTGAAAAAATGTACTGATCGCCGTTTCCTAATTGGTCAGTTTCCAGGCCTGGGGCGGGCAAACAGAGACACTAAGCAATCAGCTGCGAGTCCGTTTGTCCAATCACAAGGCTTCACGTGGCATCCTCAAAGTCACCCATTAATTGGTCCCAATGTCCATCAGACTGGAAGAGGATGACTGTGTATGCCTCTATGTTTGTGTGGGTATGTTCTGTCTCTTCCAATGTACCCCTGCTGAAGTGGCAAGAGGAATAAGAAGTGACTTTTTTTTGCATAATGAGAATACACTTCTTCTCATGCTTTTCAGATATGTGCGACTCCACTACAGTATAAAACCTAACACCCATGGATTTATTTATTCCTGCTAACTGCAAACCAATCCGTAACATTTGAGCGGTTATTTGAGGTTGTCTAGACATCGGCTAGACATTATCAAGGAGGATCCCAGGTCCAGTAATTGTCTTATGGGTGTCCAGCTCTGCCCTAATCAGTTTAAATGCAAGACTCTGTGGCTAGATAAAAGCTATGAGGCTTTCTTGATTAGTCTGCTGCTTGCCTGGGTTACTGGAGGTGTGTGCGTGTGCATGTACAGTGGCTGCGAGACACGTTTCCCTGCCTTTGATTCCTCTGAGTGTTGAAGACATAGAAGAGTAGAAAGATTCAAAGAGGTGAACTGCGAAATGAGCCGCAGAACAAGTTTGCTGAGGTAGAAACGCAGTATGAGCCATGTAAAAGCATTTTGATACTGATCACAGGGCTGTATGACTCTTCCATCTGTGAAAAAAGCAGAAGACTTATTCTATATATTTCTGCGCCCCGTCTTGTTACGTACTGACTTGGTGCTATATCTGTCCCAAATGTGAAAGTGCAGAGCAGTGCATCAAATTTATATTCTGCTTAAAGTTAATGTCGAAAATGATCAGGAGCAGTTTAGAATGTGATCATAATACTGGAAAAGCAGGCATTAAATAGAGAAAACGATATATTATTAATACATCAATAAATGTGAATCTTAGTTTTAGTTGTTAGTTATTTGTATAGCACATTTCACA